TAGGAGGAGGTGTCGGAGAGTTGGCGTCTGGCCTTGGCGATGTAGAGGTCAGTGCGCCATACTACAACTGCGCCTCCCTTGTCCGCGGGTTTTATGGTGAAGTTGGGATTGGAGCGGAGGGCTGCACGTTCTGCAGGGGAGAGGTTGGAGTTGGTGAGAGGGGTGGAGAGGTTGAGGCGTTGCCCTGGAATGTTCCTGTTTTACAGCTGGGGACCTGCTAGTTTAAATAAAGCATTCAGACCTACATTTAAAGTAACAATGTAAACCAGCATAAAATAAATACTTTGAGTCTCATTCACTTTAAATACATATGACATCCAGCACCAGTTTGGCAGAAAACCTGTGAAACCCCACAAAAAGTACACTGAATATTACTTATACCATTGTTCCACAATTTTTGTTGCTCTTTCTCTTAAGTTAGAGCGAGGGTCATCCTGTGGATATCACCCTCATTACCTCTACACAATATGACAGTCTTCCAATGTGCCAGCTAATTGAGAGTCATACAGGTGAAGAGGTCTGCAGGAGAGAAAAGCCCTTCAGCCCATCAAGTCTATGTTGGTCAAAAGTAAGCACCTAACTACTTTAATCCCATTTTCCAGCACTTGGCCTACAGCCTTGGCAATACAAGTGCACATCTAAATACTTCTTAACGCTATGAAGTTTTCTGTCTCTGCCACCCTTACAGGCTGTGAGTTCAAGATTTCCACCATTCTCTGGGTGAAAAAAAATGTTTCCTCACAATCCTTTGAAATCTCTTGCCCCTTACCTTAAATCTATATGTCCCATGGTAGTTGATGCCTCCATCAAAGGGAAATGTTTCTTCCTGTCTATGCTCCCCATTTTTAAAAATAATTTGTCAAGGTTCATTGTTTTGGCAATGTTTCCGTATTTAACTAGTCAATTACTGCATTTAATTTCTGAACTGTAGGTGGTGATGAGGGAATGAACAAGAGGAAAAAGTCTTATCTTTACCAATCTGCTGACTGCAGATACATCCGTCCATGACAGTATCTATCGGTAAGAGTGATCATTGCATTGTCCTTGTGGAGACGAAGTCCCAGCTTCACAGTGAGAATAACCTCCTTTTTGTTGTGTGTGCACTATCACCGTGCTAAATGGGACAGACTTCGAACGGATCTAACCATTTAAGTCTGGGCATCCATGAGGCACTGTGGATCATCATCATCAACAGCAGAATTATATTCCAACATAATCTGCAAACTCATGGCTCGGCACATCCTCCACTTAACCATAACCATTGAGCCAGGGGAACAACCCTGGTTCAAGGAAGAGTGTAGGAGGGCATACTAAGATCAGCACCAGGCATACCTAAAAGTGAGGTGTCAACCTGGTGAAACTACCCAACAGGACTAGTTGCATGCTGAATAGCAAAAGCAGCAAGTGATAGACAGAGCTAAATGATCTCACAACCAACAGATCAAATCTAATCTCTGCAGTTCTCTAACATCCAGTCATGAATGATGATGGACAATTAAACAACTCACTGGAGGAGGAGGTTCCACAAATATCCCCACCCTCAATGATGGAAGAGCCCAGCACATCAGTGCAAAAGATAAGGCTGAAGCCAGAAGTGCCAAATAGATGATCCATCTCGGCCTCCTCCAGTGGTCCCCAGCATTATAGATACCAGTCTTCAGCCAATTCGACTCACTCCACGTGATATCAAAAAGTGGTTGGAAGGGTTGGATATGGCAAAGGTTATGGGCCCTAACAAATTTGGCAATAGTATTGAAGACATGAGTTCCAGAATTTTCCAATCTCCTAGCCAACTGCTCCAGTACAGTAACAACATTGGTATCTACTGACATTGCAGAAAATTGCCTAGGTGTGTGCTGTACTGAAAAATTAGGACAAATCCAATCCAGCCAATTACTACCCTATCAGTCTACTCTTGATCATCAGTAAAGTGATGGAAGGTGTCATCAACAGTGCTATCAAGCAGCACCTGCTCAGCAATAACCTGCTCAGAAACGCCCAGTTTGAGTTCTGCCAGGGCCATTCAGCTCCTGACCTCATTACAGCCTTGGTTCAAACATGAACTAAATTCCAGAGGTGAGGTGAACGTGACAACCTTTCATATCAAGGCTGCATTCAACTGAGTGTGGGATCAAGAAGCCCTAGCAAAACTGGAATCAATGGGTATCGGTGGCACGCTCTCCACTGGTTGGAGTCATAACTGGCACACAGGAAGAGGGTTGTGATTGTTGGAGGTCAGTCATCTCAGCCCCACAACATCTCTGCACGAGTTCCGAGGGTGGTGTCCTCGGCCCAACCACCTTCAGCTGCTTCATCAATGACCTCCCCTCCATCACAAGGTTAGAAGTGTGGATGTTCGCCAATGATTGCACAATGTTCAGCACCATTCGTGACTCCTCAGATACTGAAGCAGTCTGTGTTCAAATGCAACAAGATCTGGACAATGTCACAGCTTGGGCTGACAAGTGGCAAGTAACATTTGCACTGTCCCTTGACATTCAATGGTGTTACCATCACTGAATCTCCTACTATCAACATCCTGGGGGTTACCATTAACCAGAAACTCAACTGGACTCACCATATAAACACAATGGCTACAAGAGCAGGTCAGAGGCTAGGAATACGGCAAGTAACTCACCTCCTAACTCCCCATCATCTATAAGGCGCAAGTCAGGATTGTGATGGAATAGTCCCCACTTACCTGCATGGGTGCAGCTCCAACAATATTCAAGAAGCTTGGAACCATCCAGAACAAAGCAGCCTGCTTGACTGTCACCATATCAACAAGCACGCACGCCCTCCACCACTGACAATCAGCAGTAGCAGCACTGTGTACAATCCTTAAGATGCACTGCTGAAATTTATCAAAGATCCTTAGACAGCATCTTCCAAACCAACAACATCTTCCATCTCGAAGGACAAGGGCAGCAGATTCATGGAAACACCGCCACTTGCAAGATCCCCTCCAAGCCACTCACCATACCATCTTGGAAATTTATCACTGTTTCTTTGCTGTCGCTGGTCTTAATCTTGGAATTCCCTTCCAAAGGGGATTGTGTGTCAACCTAGAGCATGTGTACTGCAGTGGTTCAAGAAGGCAGCTCACCACCACCTTCTCAAACCTAGAGTCAGGCACCACGAGTAAACTATAAAAAAGTCTGTCTTTCTGAAGAAAGGTTCCTGCTCCTCTGATGCTGCCTGTCCTGCTGTGTTAATCCAGCTCTACACCTTGTTATCAGTTAGATAATAGTCTTTTTGTGTTCCATTTCAAAACAGCTTTCTGTATAAATAGCAGTTTTCTACTCATTATTGATATACATGATGTTAGGAAGAAAGCATGGTTTATGATGGTTCCATTAATGTGTATAATTTTTAATCTCCATATAACAAAAAAAGTAATAAAGGCCCAGCAGAAAGTGCAAAGAACATATACAAAGTTGTTGCCAGAACTAAAAGCACACAGTTTTCAGAGAAGGCTGAACAGACCATGCCTTATTCTTCAGTGACCCATCAATGGCCATGGCAACGGTTGCTTCCAACTCAGTCTTAATTTTGTGAGGAATTCAGAGGCAGGCTAGGAGGCTTAGAAAGTGATCCTGCTCAGGCCTTGCATGGGAGGGAGGACTGGGCCACCAGCATCAACTGCTTCTTTCAAGGTCAGCCCCTCTTTCCCCACCCTCCAGTCCCATCCACTACACTTTCAAGTGCTGCTGAGACTGGAAGTCTGGCAGCTCTCTGAGCTGAGATTCCACCTCCATCCCCTCCGAGTGAGAGGAAAATGTTTCATTTCCAGTCAATTGGAGCATTAAAGGCAGTGAAGCAGTCAGCACCAATGACGCTGTGTTCACCACCAAATCTTCAATCCTACAATTCATGGCCTTTGACTTTGTACGTTAAAGTGAACAATATCAGATCAGCCATCCATTGTACACCTTCTCCTTACTTTAATTTCTATGAATGTCAATACAAAAAAAAGCCACTGGGAGAGATGTATTTGACATTGTCCATTTTACACTGTGGCCCAAATGTGAAATTGCCACCAGTATGCTTTCATCTAGAATTCCTGGAATCTAGAAATAGCTTGCAAACACAAATCGGTATTGATTCTGTCCAAGGTGTTACCAGGAAGTTGACTTGCAGATGGGATGTTCTGGCAGGGATAGGCTAGGCAAAGTGACAAGGTGACTTGGGAAGCTGGGACTTCCAAAGACCAAGCAGACTGCTCTGAAGTTATACCAAGAATGCATACATATACTGATCATATAATGTGATTACAGCTTTTTGATTCGTTTTTGAGAGGATTCTCTGGCTATACGATACAGGCTAGACATCTGCTCCCCATCAGGTACCATGCAAGATCCACATTCAAAAGAATAGCAAAATAAAGGCAGTCAGTATCGTACTTTTTTCATGTTTCTCAATTAGATTGATTAACATCTTTTGACATTTTCATAAGAACTAGCTTAAATAAGCTTCAGGTTAGAGTATATTTCATTTATTTTTTCACACTCTTCAGCTCGACTACTTTGATAATACATAATTAGAGAAGAGGTCAATCTGGAACGCACTAATTTATTTTACTACCCCAACTGTCAGTTGGATAATTTTAAAAATACACAAACCAAACCAATTTCATTATTAAAGTAGTAGTAAGTTGGTCAGTTATATAATAAAAAAAATCAAATTATATAATATTACGGACCATCTGTGTTAAAAATCTTGCACTGTTTCAAAAACATTAGTTTTATACTTTAAACATTACCAACATCTTGCTAATGTCTAAGAGAGACTTTTTTTTAAAAATGGCAGCGAATCTGTTCTTCATAATGGTGACACATTTGAAGGATGTATGAGCATGTTAACACTTCTGACCTATCTCACTTTAAATCGCTATAGGGACGATAGAGATTTATGTGACTGAGTTATTGCAGCTGCTTCCAGCTTAACAGAATAATGAATTCAAACATGAAAGAACTGAGGAAATAAACGTAAAACCATACCCTTCCCCTGCCCTTTCGGCCTCTTCTGATTGGAGGAAGCAGATCAGAGTGAAATCTGTAACAAAATGTACACATGTCTATAATCAGCATCATAAACCTGAGGTTGACTTGACATCTATTATCTTGCCACTTATTTCATTCCCATTTTCCGCAAGCCAGCGCATTTATTAATCTGCAAAGCATTTCAAGTTCTTCGCCTTTGCTCTATAACATTTGGAAAGTCATTAAATTTGATAAATATCAAACAAGCAACATATAAATGCCACACTGGTCAAAATAAATGGAAGTACAAAATGATAGTTTTATGTAACTAGCATTATAAATGCTTTTCAAGAATGCACGACCCTTATCCAGTTGTAAAATTATGAAATAAATTAACAAAGGGAGAGTGCTCAAGTGAAAACTGCATTGAAACAAAACAAACAAGCAAGCAACGTCAGATTGCCAGGGAGTTTCAACAATTTGCACACGGAGAGGAGGAACCACAATGGATTGGATTAAAGTTTTTTCATTACAATGCAGTAGGTTTGCAGTTTCTACACGAAAATATTTCACTTTGACCAATCTCTCAATTATCTCTCCTACAGATTTTTGTTCTGTTTTCTGAAGAAGGGTCCAGACCCGAAACGTCAGCTTTCCTGCTCCTCTGATGCTGCCTGGCCTGTTGTGTTCATCCAGCTCTACACCCTGTCATCTCAGACTCCAGCATCGGCAGCTCCGACTATCTCTAAGCAAAAATGCTGTGTTTTGTTCTCATGTGAGCTTTGCCTCCAACAGGATGATTGACCTGATGTGTCAATGCTTACATTATCTCCTGTCATGTAAGAAACTGGCCGTAGAGATTGCACTATTGAAGAATGCAACAGAAAGTTATTAGTATCATGGTCTAATGTTCATCGTAGTATAACTAAAATGAGCAATTATTCTCAGGTACTTCTTTCATACTTTCAAGCCATTCCTGGACAATGATCTTTTGCAATTCTTCCTTATCTCTGACAGGTTCCAACAGTGACTATTCACATTGGCTCAAGGCAAAGTGTGACAGATCAACCTTGAGAACATCTTCAACACAGTTCCAGAGAGCAGGTTCGATTCCAGACTGAAGTGACTGTCTGGGTGGAGTTTGCATGTTCGCCCTGTGTCTGCCTGGGTTTCCACCAGCTAGTCCGGTTTCCTCCCATAGTCCAAAGATGTGCAGGTTAGCTAGATTAGCTATGGTAAGCATTGCCCTGTAGTGTCCAGGGATGTGCAGGCTAGGTGGGTTAGCTATAGTAAATGCAGGGTTATGGGGATAGGTTGGGGGGAGAGGGGATTCTGTTCAGAGGATCAGTGTAGATTTGATGGGCAGAAAGGCCTTACATACACAGTAGGGATTCCATGATTCAAACTTCACAGTCAAAAGCATTAGCATGTAGATCAAGAAGAATATCACGGTCTTTGTGTGGATTAGATCATCTGGTCAGCGTGTCAAATGTAACTTTGACTTTTGTCTCAAGTCAAAGTCATATCCTGGGAAAATTTTGACTGATTTGTTTCTGCCACAGTGAATGTGGTTTGAATCTCATAAATTATTATTATACACAGATACCCCTGCATACTGGGTAGTCCTGTCACTGCTGGACCATTTGGTTTCTACCAGATAGAGGATTTTGGGAAGCCAAGCTGAGCTTGTATGTTGACACTGCAGGATGATTCTATCAATGCACAGAACTAGTGATCTGTCATGTACTGTGGGATAGTCTCTCATTGTCTGAACTCTGGAACATCACTTTCTGAGGTATAGGTCTTTCAGGATGCATAGTGGTAATCTATTGGCATTAACTCTGTGTCAATTTTATTTCCTAATGTATGTTATCGAGTCACAGAGTCATGCAGCATGGAAACAGGCCCAATGGTCCAACTCATCCCAGTCAACCAGACATCCTAACCTGACCTAGTCCCATTTCAAGCATTTGGCCCATATCTCTCTACACCCTTCCTATTCATATACCCATTCAGATGCCTTTTAAATGTTGTAATTGTACCAGCCTCCACCATTTCCTCTGGCAGCTCGTTCCATACATGCACTACCCTCTGCATGAAAGAGTTGCTTCTCAGGTCCTTTTTAAATCTTTCCCCTCTCACCTTAAACCTATGTCCTTTAATGTTGGACTCCCCCATCCTAGGAAAAAAACGTTGGCTATTCATCCTATCCATGTCCCTCATGATTTTATAAACCTCTAATAAAGTCACCCCTCAGCTCCGATACTCTAAGGAAAAGAGCCCCAGCCTATTCAGCCCTATAACTCAAATCCTCAATAACTCAGTCCCGGAAACATCCTCATAAATCTTTTCTGCATTCTCCTTGTGGCTTTTCAGGCCATATGATACAGACACTTGCAAGTCTGTTTGACTTACGCTGTCAATGTGGTGTATAAAATTAACAATAAGACAAGCTGTGTCCTCTTTTGAACGTTGATTTTCATTTGCTTGCCTCTGAATCTCATTGAATAGCTTGTATTCGTGCAACTTCTTAACAATTCCCTTGCTGCCAGTGTTGTAGCATTGTACTATCTTGTTGGTGGCCTATGATTTGACCTTGGGTCTGGCTTGGCTTTTGAAACTAGATCTCCCACATTTGCATGCCCAAAGACTCTTAAAACCATAAGATATAGAAGCAAAAGTAGGCTATTCTGCCAGCCCAGTGTGCTCCGCCATTCAACAAGATCATGGCTGACCTGATAAACCGCAAATCCACTTTCCTGCCTTTTCCCTATAATCCTTTATAGCCTTACTGCGTAAAATATGTCACAGATCCACAAGTTTTACAGAGATCAAGTGAAGCTGGACAGTTCTTGGATGGGTCCAAAAATTCCACATTTATCACAGATATTTTTTGGTGCACCTTTCTGACTGTAGTAATAGTGTTGGCTGCACCCAAAGCATGTTGTTGGCTTGTTGCTCTGGCTTGCGTCCATCCTCCGGTAATGCATCAATGGCTTTTTAACTTGGCCAAAAAGTCCTTCCTGAAGTCCAAAATTAGTGTAGAGGTGATGCCTAATTCAATCAGCCTCTCTGACGACTCCTCTTCAGAATAGTCACACTCATGTCCTTTGCTGTGGCACCTTCTGACAAACTGTGACGCTTTCTGTCCGTATGACATCAGCTGGAGACTGTTAACCCTAAAGATAATTATTATCTTGGTCACATCTTTCAAAACCTTCCAGGTGTTTACTGGATCTTTCTGATGGTCCATGAAAAGTGAGATGTGTTAATTCTGTGAAGCCCTCCTTCCCCCTGCAAAGCAGGATTTTCAAAGCTCTTTTCTCAGAATCATTTGTCTTTGGTCTGTAAAAGAGAACTGCATTATTGTGAACAGTTGCAATTAAGCAAGTGTGTCATTGGGTGGCCAATTCATAACAAGAGTTCTGCTATCCATGATTCCACCTTAAAACAAATTGCACTGTCCACCTCAAGCTGTGACTTTATGTAATTGTAAATTAATACTGTTCTTTCACTATCCTTGGTTCCTTTAAAACTGCTGCTGACTAGTTTTGGTGTCTTTAAAACTGCTGCTGCCTTGACTTTTGTCCCTTTAAAACTGTTTTTAGAACTGCAGTACTGCAATAGTAGTTTTCTGCCTGTAGCTAATAAGTGTATTTAAAAAGGAGTGTTGACATAATGACATAACAAAGATCTACACTAATTTCGAGACAAAACATTGCAGAAGCAACGAACATCTGGATACAGATCAGCTTTCTTAATGAGAAAAACATGCTTTTGTAGGTTTTTAAAACTATTATCTTTCAGGAGTGCTTGGTGATGTGCTCTCAAGATATTTTTAAATACTGGATTTTTATGGGTTTTTTTTAAGAGAGAAGAGAGGGAGATTGAATTCTCACTCTTTAGCCCATGTCTGTAGCCTCTGGTTTTGGCCACATTTGTAACTTCAGTCTTTTTTTTTAAGTCAGGCATTCTTAGAAATATCTTCCCTCTTAAAAAGACATATATTCTGATTGAAAGGAAATTAGCTCTGCTGTCTTGCTGCTCAATGCCTTACCTACAGGTCTGAATAGATGCTGGGACTCACAGAAACTGATGTCGCTCAAGGATGAGAAACTGTCCCTTTGTCCTAATTCTCCCTTGTGCGAGCCTGTTGTCCAGCAGATCTCCAATTAGCTTTCCAAACATCTGTCACCAAGTTTTGGGGTCCTTTTTTACACAGCTGTCACTGCTAACTACTTAGAGTTTGCCTGATACAGGTTATTTCACTTGATGTAGCATTGCTTATGTTATTCCCTATGACGTAAAAAAATTGGGAGTCGATATTCTGATATTCAAAAATTCAATAGATATTTATTACAACTAACTATAACATAGAAATATTACATTCCTCAAACACATAAGTGTCTGAGCTAGTTTTAAGCTATTAGTTTATAGCAGAGGAACATGTTTCCAGTCCAGTATCAAGCTGTGATAAGATGGAGTACGAGGCATTTATACTCTCAGATTACATGTAGCAATACAGTTATGAAATCATTACCGTGCCACATAAAGATTAACTGACATAATGACTGTGAGGCAGAACACAACATGCACCCACCATGATAGCAGCAAATTTAATCAATTTTCCATAAGGATTGGGTAGATAAACAGAAATCCCTTATATTGAGAATAACTTTGTTTTAAAAAGCAAATCTGTAAAGGAATTTGACACAACGTCCATAATAACTCCAAAACTGGTTTATAACTACTGGGATTCAGGAATTTTTACCTCAAAATCTTCCCTTTCAATTTATATGGTGAGATTTTAATTCATTCAAAACTCAGTTATTCAACTTTAAAACCTAAACCAAATATTACACATACGCAGCAATCAGAGAAAAATTCTTAGCCTTCATCTGCTTGCTAACCCAAACACTCAAGCAGTCACTTTCGCTCCATGACATTGCTCTGAGTTCTCAAGTCGAATCAGGCCACAGATATATAAAGGCAATGTACCAGCAATGATGCTTTCTTATCTTCCAGTCTCATATTTATTTCACAGATGATTCACTTCTAGATTTTAATGAATGG